TACCCACAGGTACAGATGACGACTGACAGAACCCTTTCTACGATGGAACTTTCCTGTACGACTGAGAGCCTCCACAAGCATCTTGCTTTGGTTTGCAAGCACCGACTTGAGATACAAGCGTTGTATGGTGGCAGTCAATGCAACTCGGCTCAATGGAATTCTTTAAACCGTGGGTTAAAATCCAGACACATCCCTTAGTAGGCTAAGGGGTCTTGAGGTGCAGTCTGGCCAAGGACAGGACATCCTCATCAGTATGTTTGAGTGGCTGACAGTGTCGCCTGACTTGTGTACGGCCAGCATGGCATCGGTTCTCACTCAGTGACGGTGTGATTGTGGATGTGGATGGTTGTCTGGCGACTAAAGAGGTGTTGAAAATGGATAATGGATGGATGGATATTTAAAACAACCACATAGCTTAGCCTTTCAGTCCGCTTGCTTTATGCTAATGCAATATAGAAATAACTATAGGGCAACGTATTAAACACAAATGACGCAGCAACACATGTAGACAGATATTAGAAGAGTATTCAGTCAAATATACTTACAAGTACTAGTGCCGTACTGATGAGTCAGCTGTACTGTTTATAGCTGTCTGCCTGTTTTATACTGCCCTCAGGTGGCCAAGGTGGGCGCACCAGAAGGAGCAGCATTTAATTGATGCAGTGTGACAAAAACTGTTTGTTTTTCATTCTATTTCTTTACTCTGTGTTTCTATAAAGTACAATTTTATGGACTGCTATTTTTCGTCATTATTTTAGTTGTTCGGAGGGGGTAAGATGGGAAAAGATGATTGGACGTTATAGTCACATCAGTTTTACTTTAGATTTTTCTGTATTTTTTTTTTTAATATAATTTTACACAGGAGAAATCACACGGTTCTTCCTTTTTGCTTCAGTTACCTTTTCCAATATGATTGCAGGCTCCTTTACTGTTTTTTTTCGTTAATCATGAGACGATAAACCCTACCATCGCCATCATCGCGTTTGAGGCGAACCAAAGAAAAAGCCTGTTGCACAGCTGCCGCACTGAAATAACATCCAGCCCTCTGTAGCTTGCGTAAACATCCAGCATCTTCGGCGGAGGTTGACTCTGCGAAAAGAAACAAAATTCGATGTAAGGAGTTCATTTAAGACATTGTGCTTGTGTGACATGTCGGGGAAAAAATATGGACATCTGGAAGCAATGTGGCAAACAGCAGCTCGCTCCCTCATGCACCCGCACACGCGTATTAAACGCAACACGATGTGGGAGGTTGCTTTTTTTTTTGAAGTGTCTGGGACCTGTTTTTGTATGGACATGTGTGTGGGGCTTGGCAGCACATGTTCAAATGTCCTCAGAACTAATATTAACACTACAGTTCCAATACAAATCATTGTAGCGTTTTACGATTTGAGTAGGTGGCATATGTCAGGGTGTTGAAGGGAGGTTGTGTTCCATTAAAAACATGTTTATTTCCCTATGCAGGATCTATATAACAAATCTATCTTTGCCAAATTATTGTGTGTAGCTAACCTGACCTACGCAAGCCCTCCCTACTTTGTTACCTCCCCAACTGTCTTACTTACCTCTTCGCTTGTCTCAATGACCTACCCACTGACCTACGTATCTCCAGACTACCTACCTGGCTTTTTAAAGTACCTACATTTCTTCCTGGACGGCCCGGTGGTTGACTGGTTATCGCGTCGTCCTCACAGTGCAGAGGTGCAGGGTTCGATTCCGGCTCCCACTTTCCCGTGTGGGGTTTGCGTGTTCTCCCCGTGCCTGCGTGGGTTTTCTCCGGGTACTCCGGTTTCTCTCCACATTCCAAAAACATGCATGGCAGGCTTAATAGAACGCTCTAAATTGTCCCGAAGTGTGAGTGTGAATGCAAATGGTCTAAGTGTGCCCTGCGAGTTGCTGGCAACCAGTTCAGGGTGTACCCCCTACTGCCCATAGACAGCTGGGATTGGCTCCAGCATGCTCTTTTGGTGAGGTGCAGTGTTGTGTTTGCACTCGGCAAGGAAAGGCATCGCAGCTTTATATACATAGCGCATTTCATACACGAGGTATGAAAAGACAATATGCTTTACATTAAAGTACAACATTGGAAAGCATTTAAAAACAAGGAGCTTAAAAACAAGGAGCTTAAGACATTTATTTTTTTTAAAGGTAAAGTATTTCTAATAGATGTTAGGCAACCTGAGAAGGCCTCGCCAGTTGCAAACCTTGCACAAATACTGTATCTAAACACAAATAGCATTATTCAAAATCCGAAGAAAGTATCCATGATTTCAATCATTCGATCAATCAATCAATCAATCAATCCAATTGTATTCATAAAGCGCTTGTTATTCAAAAGAATGCAACTCACAGTGTTTCACATTCTAAAATCAAAGGAATCAAAGAAGGGGATCACCCCAGCTATTTTCTGCTTTGCGAAACGAGTTGGCACGAGCATGCGAATCCATAAAACGCTCCGCGACTTCTCACTTCTCACGCCATGTGCGCTCACGACTGCGTTGCATACACATGTGACCTCACGTCTGCCCTCTTGAATGGGCGACTATTGTGCAATGACACAGTGGCACTCAGGAGCGCAAAACAAACTCCTTTCTATTCACGCTCCACACGCCACCGCTGCTGTTTCCTCAAATAACAAATAACAAGTTAAAGCTGTGGAAATTGCTGGTTAATTTTCGCGGCGAGCGAATGAATGAGTCGCTTGGGAGGCGACACTTATTTTCAATCGCATGCCGGGGGGGAGTCTGCGCGGCAGGTAGAGTCGTGAGGTGTTTCCACCGCCTCCCTGGTTACCGTGACAACGGGGTGTTGCCATGTGACAAGTGAACAGGCGCTTGTTGTGTACTTGTCACAGCATTTCCAGCCTTTTAAAAACATCTATTGACTCACACACTTGCTCCCTTACTGACATCATGTATCGATATGGGGGTGGGGGACACCCTTGCCCCAGGTCATAAAATATTTCAATATTTTTGGAACATTTTAAAGGCTCCCGCTGGTCAATATTGCGTTTGCCATTCATTGACCCGGAGGAAAACGATGACGTTAGTTTTGTTTTCGATGCACTTGACACAGGATTTCCTTCATGGCTTTATGAGCAAAACAGTGAAATATTTCCTCTCATCCTGAGTCCATACCAGAAAAAATATTATTCGGTACGACAGACCATTCATACAGCTAATAATGCTCCAGACCTGGAGAGGTATTCATTCAACAATGTTTACTTTTGTAGTGTAGAATCAGATCGGTGATTTCCAACCAAGTGCCACGGCACACTAGTGTGTCATGAGAGATCAACGGCGGTGCCGTGGGAAATGATTCCATTTCGCTTTGCATGTTTCCAGCATTTGCCTTCAAATACATTGAATGTATTTAGGAGGAAAAAAAACTGAAAATGACTTAACTGGGTCTTTAATCATAAGCTCAGTTACGGAACAAATTAAACTCATCAGTCTACCGTAACAGGATGCAAAAATGGAAAAAAAAAAAGGTCAAATGGACCCATCAACCAAACTGAACTGGAAGTCTGCCATTTTGGTTTGAAGCAGTCATATTAACGAATTCCTATTGAGGAATTTGCTCAAATTAGGACTCAAGTAATTCAAGACCGATGGGCTGAATTTCAAAGTTTTTTTGGCCATCTTATGTGAGAAAAGCACCCCGTCGAAGTATAATGACAGTTTTTTTTTTTTTAAGATTAGCCACGAAAAAAGCTTCATAATGTTGTACCTTTTTTTTCCTCTTTATTTATATATTGATTTATTTTCAGAGAACCGTCAGTACAGTAAATCTAGTCGGGTCACGTCATTGATAACAGTATCGGAAAAGCCTTTTTAGTAGAGTGATTTTTTTTTGGTTTGTTTTTTGCGAGAAACTTGTGCAGCTAAGGCAACGAGATTCATTCCCTTTCAAAGGCCATCTCTCATCGGGGGGGGGGGGGGGAGACAGGGACCCCGCTCTGTCAAAATTACCAGTCGACTGAGAAAAGGTCAGAGATCCGAAGGAAAAGAGCATCGGTGGCGCGGATGGTGTCGCGATGCGGCTGGGAATTCTGAAAACAACAGTCAAAGTGTCTTGAGTAAAGCACCAATGGGAACGAGGCTGAACCTTGATGACAGGATGGAATGACGGGACGACAAAAAGTCAATGATTCACACAACCTGACTCTTATTTATGGACCTGCACAATAGAAGTCGTCTGGGTTACATCCTGGTGGCAGAACATGTTTCATGTTCAGGCACAAAGCCAGCAACAGGGAGGCACACTCTTTTTTGGGCTCCAGACCAACACCATGTTTGCACCGTGATTACAAAATAGTTACAGCATGGTTTGGCCTATGATCCACTTTTTACCAATCCTATTTCGATTTGTGTTTAAAAGTCCATGAAAACATGTTTATTGTAGCTTCTTTCTATTCACATGACAATTAAACTCATAAAACAAATCATCAAAAATCCATTTTAACATTGACTTTCTTTTCAGTGAAGATGCAATAAACTTTTTTAAAGGTTTTTTTTTTTTGTATATCAAAAAGATGAGCCAGCTGTGCAAACTACAAATGATTTCACATTGATCCGGAAAAGATCAAAGGAGATGAAACTTTTTGATGCAGTAAAACACTAAGTCACATGGTTTCGCGTCTTGTCAAAATCTGTTATCCAGCCTTGTCTAAGTGATATTCTGTCCCTTTGGTACAGGCCTTGGCCATGCCGCCCCTTGGGCCCCCATTCCTCCTGACCCTGCTGCAATTGATTGTACTTACATATGTAAGTGATGGAAAGTACTATGGACACAATCAACACCCTCAAGCCTACCAACAGCAGATGCAAATGCAACACCTCCAACACATGGGCATGGGCAGTGAAGGCTACCCCCAGCAACAGTACATCGGCAAAGATGCGCCCTATATGCACTATCCCCAATATAGGAAAGAACTCCCCCAAATGCCCATAATGAAGGGCAAAGAAAAGGCTCGCAAAGGGGGTGTCTATAATGGTGGACAAGACAAAGGTAAGAAATAAAAAGCTACATAATGGACGTTATTGTGAACCTGGTCCTCCTGAAATACCTGACATACATATTCTACATATTCTGTGTGCATCATTGATTCCAGGTCAGACAATACCAAGTGGTGCTGAGGGAATTCCCCAAGGACAACCTGGTCCAGTTGGCCCACCTGGTCCAGAAGGACCTATAGGTCCCCCTGGACCTCCAGGCAACGGCCAACCAGGACCAGCAGGGCTACCTGGACCTCCAGGTCAACCAGGACTACCTGGGATGGGTAAACCAGGGTTACAAGGACCACCAGGCAGACCGGGGGGGCCCGGTCTACTTGGGCCGCCAGGAGAAATGGGCCCTAGGGGCGAACAGGGGCCGTCCGGACAACCAGGACGCCAAGGTCCACCAGGACCACCTGGGCTACCTGGAATTGGTAAACCAGGTGTCCAGGGACTACCAGGCCAACCAGGGATGAAAGGAGAGCCAGGCCACAAAGGACTGCCAGGACTTCCTGGATTACAAGGACCCAAAGGCGATAAAGGAATGGGACAACCAGGGCAACCAGGTCATAAAGGTCTACCCGGACCCCAGGGCCCTCCTGGACCAAGAGGTTTACCTGGTTTTGGAAAACCAGGTTTGAATGGGATGCCAGGCCCACAAGGACCTCCTGGAGATAAGGGGCATCCAGGACTGAAAGGACTAAGTGGGCCACCGGGTGAAGGAGGACCACCAGGCCCGCCTGGCCTGCCCGGGCAAGGAAAACCAGGTCAAAATGGTCTACCTGGACAGCCAGGCATGCAAGGTGCGAAAGGTCATCCAGGACCACCTGGTTTACCAGGAAAGCCAGGGGTACCTGGCTTTGGAAAACCAGGCCTTCAAGGACCAAAGGGTGATCAAGGTATGAATGGACTACCTGGACCCCTAGGACCAAAGGGAGATAAAGGTCATGCAGGATTACCTGGTATGATTGGACCAGCTGGCCCAAGTGGTCAACCAGGCCCTCCAGGACCCAAGGGGCCATCAGGAGGTGTAGGCTTACCAGGTCCAAAAGGAGAATGTGGTGAAGGAGGACCTAAAGGGATTGATGGAATTCGGGGTGACTCCGGTACGCCTGGATTACCTGGCACTGATGGTTTACCTGGAGAACGTGGAAGTCCAGGGCTGAGAGGTCCACAAGGACCAAGTGGCACCAAAGGAGACAATGGACATAAAGGCCTTCCTGGCCCACCAGGTCCACCAGGACTTCCTGGGCTCAAAGGAGAAGGTGGATTTCCTGGTGAAATGGGACCTCAGGGTCCGAAAGGAATCCCTGGTATGGATGGTGCAGCAGGGCCAATTGGATCACCTGGACTTCAAGGGCCAAAAGGAGATTTTGGCCCTCCTGGTCCACCAGGCATTGCAGGTGAAGGTATTCCAGGTCATCCTGGTCCTATTGGACCTCGGGGAAAAGACGGCCCATCAGGACCTCAAGGACTGAGCGGACCACCAGGCCCTCCTGGACCCCCTGGCCCACCAGGAGAATCTGGTGTGTCTCCGGACTTGGCTGGAGTGCTCTCCCAAATGGGCCCCGGCCTGGATGGTGAAAAGGCTGGTGGCTACGGTAAAAAAGGCAAATATGGAGGAAATGGCGCAGAAGTCATGGGAGCAAGTGGGCTGGAAATGCCAGCATTCACAGCTATTTCATCATCTCCATTCCCACCCGTGGACACTCCGGTGGTGTTTGAGAAGCCTTTGTACAACGGTCGCCAAAACTTCAACCCCCAAACGGGAATATTCACCTGCGAAGTCCCTGGCATTTATTACTTTGCCTACCACATCCATTGCAAAGGAGCCAATGTGTGGGTGGCCCTGATGAGGAACAATGAGCCGGTGATGTATACATATGATGAATACAAGAAGGGATACTTGGATCAAGCATCAGGAAGTGCAGTCTTACCTTTACAGCCAGGGGACACTGTATACATTCAGCTGCCCTCAGATCAAGCTGCAGGACTTTACGCCGGAGAGTACGTGCACTCGTCTTTCTCCGGATTTCTGCTGTATCCATTGTAAGCGAAAAGTGAAGAATAGGAGATGGGCTGCATTTTTGTTGCCAAAAAGTGGACTTTTAAGTAAAAATCTGGGAACGTCATAACTGCAGATGAGAAGGTGGTTTGGTTATCACAAGGAAGGACGATGGTCTGTATCTAAAACCCATTTTACACCACAGAGCCATTAGTCCATGTGCCATTTTATATGTATAAAGGTATAGAATAACCTATGAAAAGGCATTCACCGAGGACCTGAATGACTTATCGTATTCCCTCAAATAGTGGCCTCCTAGAATAGACACGGTGTCTCAATTCGTCGCCGGGTGTGTCGCCAATTTGAAGTCTGCCGTTAACTAAAACAGAAGCACCAAAAGAGGGATGTGAAACAGTCTCTCAGATAAGAGTGCCATACTGCTGTTTGTTGTAAACAATAATAATGATTTTACATTATGGGGAGACTAGATTCGAGTTCCAATAGACTCTGCCATGTCGCTCCACAATGTAATGTGCGTCCAAGTGTACATTCCCGGCATCGATGCGCCTGATTTTTTTTTTCTCCTCCTAGTCACTCATTTCTTTCTGCATTTTCTCCATTATAATAAAAAAGGCATACAGTACATTGATGTAAAAATTTATATGATTTTTCTAGAAATCGCATTTATACAAATAGAGGACGTCTCCGCCCATCTGCAGTTGAGTCGCCAAATGCCCCTGCCCACTAGATGAGGAAATCGGGTAGTTTTGATGAAATTCCGGCAAACCAAGTGAATGCAGTTTATTTGTATGTTTCAACGTGAGGGCAGGAAGGGAATTTGTAAAGTATGCAAAGAACAACTGAGCATAAAATATTGTTGCAATAAGGTGTTTAAAAAAATTAGGAAAAGTGGCAGCTACCCAACGTGGCAAAGAATGTGAAGTTCAGCCAAAAACGTAAACAGATACATTGATGATGATTGATGCCCCCCCCCATCCATACCAATGTGTAAATACAACTATTGCCTTAAACATTCCAGTGTTGTGCCACATGCAGTATATACACATTTTTCAGAGAATAACATCAAATTAATTGTGCTTTTTTTACTTACTTATGCCTGCTTTGCTCTAATTCTGCGAGGAACTTTAACAGACTTGGCGGTATGATCAATGCCCTGCAGAGAATTTAAAACTAGATGCAATACCACTCCCTACGAACAAGAAACAGAAGAGGCATTTGTTATGAAAGCCAATGTGAATGGATAAAGAAGTTCTTTTAAAATCATTGTCAAATTTCATTAAAAATTCCATTCCTGACCAATGTCACAATATCTGGGTTTTTTTCACATTAGTTTTTATCGTACAGTGATTTCATTTCTGCAATTGTTGCTGCCAATCTGAAATGTGTAACGGCAGGAAAATTACATTTAAAAGGGGGAAATGAAACAAAATTTGGTGTGAAGATGTGTCAAAAGTGATGGGACATGGGTGAGTACTTATAATGTCAGTAATTTATTATTTGGACCGATAATTGCCTTACATATAGGTGTAAGAGGCGTGTGGGGGAGGAATTTTGAAAATAAAATAAAAGGTTTTTCTTTCCAAGCATGGTGCTAATATTGTCATTGTGACCTGAGAGTTAATGTATTAATGTTTCACTGTTATAATAATTATTTTTTTGTCAATGCTGTTTTTCTAAATAAAGATGTTAGTGAAAATGATCACAGAAGTCTTTATTTCTGAAATCAACGAGAGCAAATCATCAAAACTTACATTAAATTTATATTAAATTTAAATTATATATTGTGTTTTATTATTATTTGAAATGAGATATTTGAAATTCTGTGATTGGCTGGCAACCGGTTGAGGGTGTCCCCCGCCTACTGCCCGAAGACAGCTGGGAAAGGCTCCACAAGGCGATAAAGCGGTTCAGAAAATGGATGGATGGATGGAAATTTGAAGTTGTTCTTCAAGCATTCCTATTAATTTATGCATGCCATTATTATTAATTTAAAAAATAAGAATTCCTCAATTTTAATGCTTGTAAAGGGCCGCGCCCATGAATGCTGCATTCGAGAAAAGTGGAAAATTGTATTTATTATACTCCATTGTCCCAGTTCCGACCTTAAAGCGTCAGAGGAGAATGTAAACAACAAGGTGATTCTGATAAATTGCCTGTTGTTTTGGGTTTTGGTTCATCGTGGCACATTCTGACCTATAGTAAATCTTCATAATTTATTTCATTTATACAAATAAAGGAATATCTTGATCTTCATCTTCACTCATTACAACAAAAACGCCATGGAATCAGTGCAAATGACGTTCTGTTACGTGAAGTTATGTCAAATAACCAAAGTATTCTAATAATAGAGGATAGATAAATATATGTTTACAGTATTGTAAATTATGTTTTGCCATTCACGGTCAAGGTCTCCATGAGGGTCGCTATTGATGAGTAACATCACATTACAGTCAGTCGGTAAACTCGGGGTCGACTTCGCAACCCCCGCGACCCTCGTCGCCTTTCGGGTCCTTTTCCTTGTCAGAAGTGAGTTGAGTTGAGTTGAGAAGTCGGAAATCTCCAACTTCCCATTTTCCTCGAATGCAGCAGAAGGACCAGATGCTGATGTTGCCGCAAGAGGAAGCAATGCGCATGCGTGTAGCTGACGGAAGCTCATTGATTCTTGACATCTTTTGTTCGGTGTCTTTCTCTAAGCAGGCCGACGGAAAACGCAGCCGGTAAGAATTTTTAGCTGTGCTATTTTATGTTCCAATATCACAACGCACTCTTTTGATGCTGATTATATGAAGTGTTTTCAAGTCTGTTTAGTTCGAGTGAAAAGTGTCATTGATTTTACGGCAGCAGTTTTAGCTAACCAGCATTGTCGGAAAACGGCAAATTAAGCGGTAGCACTTCACTTCATCAGTGTCTGTTTTGTCAATAGGTATCCCACCTCAATATGACGTCACGTGTTGGCCACAAACCTGCTGCCTCCAATGGAAGTGACTTTAAATTCAGGGAGAAGGCGAATGCACACTACCAAATGAGGTAAGGAATTCCTTTTTACATGTGGATTTATTCATAAAGCGGCCGAGGGACTGCAGTGTCTAATAGGAGTGAGGTATGATATTTCTTGTTTTTATATAAAGACCAAGACCAATGACAATGTAAAACAAAAAGAAGAACAATTGACAAAATGTAGCGGTTCGTGCTTCTCATTGACAACGATTAGTATAAACTGACGAGAATACGAACATAACAATCCATGCATTCCTCATGTTGCAGCGCTTCTTTGAAGTCAGAGGTGCGCCGCTTGAATGTGATCCATCTTCTGGTTTGGCTCCTGATAGCCGCCCAAGTTGCCGTCAGTCACTTCGACCTGCTGTCACACGACACCGTTGCCATGCCCTACCAGTGGGAGTACCCCTACCTTCTCAGCATGGTCCCCCTGTTATGCAGCAGTCTGTCGCTGCCCAAGAACAACATCAGCTACCTGGTCTTGTCCATGATCAGCGCCGGGCTATTCTCGGTGGCGCCGCTCATCTATGGCGGCATGGAGATGTTCCCCCTGGCGCAGCAGTTGTATCGCCACGGCAAAGCCTACCGCTTCATCTTCGGCTTCTCCGCGGTGACTGTGATGTATCTGCTCATGGTGGTGGCGGTCCAAGTGCACGCGTGGCAGCTGTACTACATGAAGAAGCTACTGGACTCGTGGTTCAGCGCCACGCAAGAGAAGAAGAAGAAATGATTGTAAAAAAAAGAATTATTTTTCAATTACTTTATTCTACAGGAATCACATGTTGGTATTTATTCTGGTTATTTTGTGATTTTTCTTTTAATGTAATACAACATATTCTCCCAACCTGAATACAATTTTTAATAATGTATTATGAACATTTTATGACTTGACTTATACTTTCTTGTATGTTTGACTTTTACTTTTATTGTGTCTGAATATTTCATTTTGACTCCTGTACAATAGAAAGCGTGTGTCTTCAAAAGCAATTTGTTTTTATCCCCAAATCCTCCTTTTTTTCAGGCTTCCGGAAAATAATTGTAATTTTATGAAAACATTTGTCATACATGAAAAGTATAAATCTCAAAATTGTTTTATTTTCAAACAAAAAAAATGTCAATTTGTTTCAATTTTATGGAAAGAATCAACATTTTTATGAAAATAGCGTTCTCTTTTTTTTTAATCGTGACTTTATTTTAGTAATATAAAAAAATTATGAAGATAAATACTGTAACGCAATGATTTCAAGACATTGTGGGTTTTCCCCCCAATCATATTATGACTTTTGTTCTACAATATTTGATTCTACCCTTTTATCTTTATGACTTTTGTTGCTTTTCATTGTAGTCATGTAATATGAAAAGCATTATTCCTTTTTTTGGTGGTTATAAAAAAATGAGCATAATTTTTTGGGTGATTTTGAATGGAACAAAAAGCTGTAATTTTCAGTAAAACATTCACACTTTTTTCCTGGTCATATTTAGATTTTCTTTTACGATAACAAAATGCGTTCTTGGAAAATTACAGCTTTTTTTCCGAAAAAAAATTACAACTTTATTTTGACTGCGATTTATTTCCCTCCAAGTGTGACTCAATACTCCTTTTTCACTCTGCAATGAAAACTAGGTATCACCACTGACATCTCCCATGTTTTGAGGAGAAAAAAAAGCATAATATGTGTATTTTATTCTCCCAACGGTCTCTGCATTTTACGACTGGGTACCCCCTACCAAAATACGGATATGATGAAAGAGAAATGGACAGATGTTTGGTTTTTATTATTATACCGTTCCCTTTTCAGTATTTCCTTAAAATAAATCATTTTCAATAACTGTTCTGGCATAACATTGTGTAGTAATGCATGGTGAATTTCGAATGAATAAAACACGTTCGTTCCAAGTGTTTATGGTTTGACGATTATTAAATGGCCTTTGGGCGCATGCGCGGCGGGGCTGCCACGTACAGGTTGACAGCTGAGGCTGATCGGGGACACTTCCTGATTGCTCCTGCTGCCATCCGGCTCTTGCTACGCTAGCGACCCTCTTTCACGATTTGGGAGCAGCGAGTGAAAATCAGCGTTGGTCCGTTGTCACAACAAGGTAAAACACATTCTCGGGTTTACTAGCGAGTCGTCGGATCGTCCGTGTCTAATCCAATGTCACGTGTTAGCGGTGTATTGTGTGAGTGGGTGTTGCTAGTTAACATGTTAACTAGCTAGCCGGCTAATGATACGTTCGCATTTTCGGCGAGCTAACAGGCCAGCTTGCTAAAACAAGTGTTTGGGATTCATTGAAAGTCAAGGTAGACACCCTCAAGACTCGCACATCAGGAGTTTTTGTTTCTATTTTAAAGCTTTTTTTTTAACCCGTCTGTTAGATGTGTTAGCAGTAACCGAACATGTTTCATTTTAATTTCATCACCGCTCAGTAATGAGGACGTCAGTCAGGGCTGACTTTTGTTGTTGAATACATTAATACTCCATGTATGCCATATTAAAGCAGTGTCATCGTTGGCAGTGCTGCGAAAAAGGCCAAGCAAACTTTCACTGTCACAAGTTGTCAACGGCATCTGTTCTACGGTCAGATGACTTGGCCTGTTCAAGTTCGGGCGTCTCTGTTCGTTCAGTGTCGAGTGGTCGATCGCCCATTACGAAATATTTACGTTCACATGGATGATGAGAATGGACGTCGACTGTCCCCCTGCTAACGTCTAATGTTAGCCGCAGCCCAATCCCTAGCATCCAGGCAATTATTCATCTGGCGAGAACGCAACGCAGAGCCTCCCTGGAGATGGCTGATTGTTCATCATCCAGTTTACAACACCACCGTGAGCGCAGTTGCTAACTGGTCACGTTATTGGAGTTAACCGCCACTTGACACCATGACGAATTACTTTTTTTTTTTAATCAGTTTCAGGTCAAAGTCTGTGCATTAGCACGTACGGGTCCTCGCCAGCTCACACGATGATGCTTGACCCTTAGACTCGTGTGTAGTCAAGAGCAAACTTGGCCTGCCTCTCTCCCTGTCGGGTGATTGGTTTCGTGCGATTGACTGTACTCTAGAATTGAGGAAATCGGCTTTTCCGTCAAGTTGCTCAAAGGCCACTTAAGTGCATAAATACTCAGTTTAATATTGTAATTAATGTTTACAATATGAGACCCCACGTATGATGAGGAAAAAATTGGCACGTCTTATAGTGTGTCATGTATCCAAGAAGACCTACGCAGCACACACACATAACAGTATCTCTTCCGTAATTGTGACCTGCCATAGCAAGGCAATACAGATTCAATCGGTCAAACTTTTACCCCTTAATTACAAATTTTATTTTTAGGAGACTGGTCACGTTATTGGAGTTAACCGCCACTTGACACCATGACGAATTACTTTTTTTTTTTTAATCAGTTTCAGGTCAAAGTCTGTGCATTAGCACGTACGGGTCCTCGCCAGCTCACACGATGATGCTTGACCCTTAGACTCGTGTGTAGTCAAGAGCAAACTCGGCCTGCCTCTCTCCCTGTCGGGTGATTGGTTTAGTGCGATTGACTGTACTCTAGAATTGAGGAAATCGGCTTTTCCGTCAAGTTGCTCAAAGGCCACTTAAGTGCATAAATACTCAGTTTAATATTGTAATTAATGTTTACAATATGAGACCCCACGTATGATGAGGAAAAAATTGGCACGTCTTATAGTGTGTCATGTATCCAAGAAGACCTACGCAGCACACACACATAACAGTATCTCTTCCGTAATTGTGACCTGCCATAGCAAGGCAATACAGATTCAATCGGTCAAACTTTTACCCCTTAATTACAAATTTTATTTTTAGGAGATTAACATCATGAAGTGTTCAAAAATGTAAACTCAACAAAGAAGTCAGTAATTATCCCAATTGCTCATTACAACGCCGTAGATATCCACACGGAGCTTCCCCAACATACGGGTATCAGTATAAAGCTGACGGTTCTAGGTTTTTTTTTTATCGCCTTGAACTCTAGCATAGCAACAGTTACTATGCTAGAGTTCATGACCCCAAACAATATGAGGATGGAAGAAAACCCACTTCCATCATTGCTTACTCTGATCTTGCTGGTCGGCCTAAATTTCCAATGATTCTTAGCAGGAAGTAGTCCCAGTTCCGTAATGACAAAAACATTTACTCACCTGCTTGTGATTAGATACGCATGACAATGACAATGTGAATGTTATAGGAAGGAGTTCGAATTTTGCAAAGCTGACATTCATCCATTCACAGGGCGCACGACACTTTGAACCTCTCCTCTTTCATCTATAACTGCTTCATACAACAAAGAGGATGCAGACAAGTGGTTAAGATTGAATGACTGTCTGTGTCTTATGCGTTGTGTTGTATTATTTTGTTATTTTGACTTCAAGATGGCGCCGCAAGAGTGGCTGCCTTCAGAGCAGCTCCGATATTTTGTTCTTCTACTTCTTCCTTTCATAACTCTGCTGCTGTGAATTGGGAATTTCTCCATTGTGAGACTAAGAAAGGTTTTCTTATCTTACATTATAAAACGTGCTGTTGATTTTTGAGCAAATGTCAGGATTTTAAGGGCGCTTTCTGGTCCGAAGAATACGGTACTCAAATTGCTCGAGGACTTGTTTCATTCCGAAACGGCAACAATGTCTTGACTGTTATTTTCCTATTTATACAACTTTGTACTTGGGACATTACAACCTCATGTGTGTCTTTTGCAGTGTGGCCTTAGTACATCTTTGTACAAATACCATGCGATGAGCAAAGGATCCAATTGATTCAGGGCTAACTAGTTTACTCCCGAAACGTGCTAATATCGATGCCCTTTCCCCCCCGCATCTGTTTTCTACCTTGAGCACACTGCCACTGGGCTGCTTTCGTGTGTTGACGTAGTCATCGTTGTCAACAGAAATTCTCAGGCTTCAAGGAACTTGCATTTGAATGTTGAACATTGAATGTTGTTCCTGTTTATACTTTTTTTTTTTTTTTTTTAACAAAGTCGTTCAAGGTTTTTAGTTTCTTTTGAGATGGCCTTATTACAGATAAAAATGCAAACATTTTTTCAAGGTGGAAGCTTTCTGTGTGAAATGATGGGAGTAAATGTGATTAAACCAGGAATGTATTAAATTGAAGGCTGGTTCTTAATGGGAATAGAAATGTACTAATCAAAGAGAAAACATTTCAGCATGATTCAGACAAAATTTGATCTAAGTACCGTTGAAAATGAAGAACAGATCGGTAGAAAGAATTTGGCAAAAAAGTAGAGGCCATGTTTGAACCTGAGGAAAAATGCTGTTTTTTTTAGTTGCGCGTTGAATGGCACTTTTTGTGTTGGGAGAGGGTCTTTTTCAGTCAAGTGTTTGAATGGGACGTAGAAGGAACTTTTGGATGGTTCTGTGCTTTTACTTTTCTTGATCTTTGAATGGGTTGAGTGGGAGCGTAAAAGTTAACTGAACATTCAATCAAATATTTACATTTTCATTGATTGTCCATTAAAACTTTTAAATCTTGATAAAGTACAACCTCCACATCTGTTGAGTTAACGTGCTTTTAAATTGTGATTTTGCATGGATGTCTTGTGGGAAAAAAACATTTTGTCATATGTCCTTATTGACAAAGCAATTATTGAAAGTTTTCATTAAAAAAAAACATGAAATTCAACAAAGTCTCCAGTTGCCTCGATCCAATCTTTGTGGATTAACATGACCTGGATGACCGACAATCTACACAGACATAAGGCAAAATAAATTCCTTCGGTAATTACGCTTTTAGGCTAAGAATTAGTCAAAAAAACAAGACAAATATTGTAAGTCGTAAAACTGTCAACTGTGCCCCGTGGGGTACGTTGTGGTCGGCAGCCATGCATCTACATTCTTGACCAACCTATCATGTGATTACAAGTAATCGCAATCACCGTTGCTAACGTGGTATGAAGTGGGCATTTTCCCACCTTTTTCCCCCCCGTGTTGCTGATCTGAGTAAATGTCGCCATTGGCCGTTTGTCATTCCTTCCCTGTCAGGAGGTTGGAGCAGCAGTTAGGACGGACGGCACCATGAACGGCCAGCTCGACCTGAGCGGGAAGCTGATCATCAAAGCCCAGCTGGGCGATGACATCAGACGCATCCCGATCCACAATGAAGACATCACTTACGATGAGCTGGTGCTCATGATGCAGCGTGTCTTCAGGGGCAAACTGCAGAGCAGCGACGAGGTCACCATCAAATACAAGGACGAAGGTGGGTCACGTCCTCTCACTCACGTTCATGATTGCTTAGCTTCCCCTCGAGGGCCACGTTTAATTCCGGCAAGAGAGCTGAAACGTTTGAACAATTCTAATCTGGACCCAAATTATCGTTGGTGTCTTCATAGAGCCTCACCTCCAATGTGTGAGTGTTATTCTTTTGAATTCTACTCCAACTTCTTCCCACATTCCGAAATCATGCGTGTTGTATTGATTGAATATTATTTTGCTGTACACTCACTCACCATCTTTTCCCACCCCACTTTTTCCTTTTTTTATATGTACAGACGATGACCTCATCACCATCTTCGACAGCTCTGACCTCTCCTTCGCTATCCAGTGCAGTAGGATTCTCAAGTTAACGTTGTTTGGTAAGTTCACATTGTTCAGGTTAATTTACTGTAGCTGGTCACTAGAGGGCAGTGCAGGTCTAGCTTCAAACTATTGCCCCCAGCCAAAGGCTGACGCATTTGTCTCCTGCTACATGCACAAATGGGACAAAGTGTGCGTGTGCGTGTGTCTAAAATACAAAAAAAAAAGGGAAATTACTATATCGTAAGCGAGTCATTTAAAGAAGTTGTGTCACGAGTATTGTCCTGCGTTACAGAGTCTTTCAATCTCACATGGAGATGATTCGCAGTTATGTGCAAGCGTTGCTTCTGTTCAGCCATTGCTTTTAATTTGTGCAGTTGCTATCAATTGCAGTGCACAAAGGACTTGCATTCTGATCTCGTCGACTGTTTCAGTGCGTTTCACTTACATTTCTTTGTGACATTGACAAAGGAGCATGCACTAAGAGAAGATGCCGTTGTGCTGTTATTGATCATAGTTTGGTAGGTTTGTTCTTGGTGTTTTTATTTTTTTCTTTCTTTCCAACGCGGGGTGTGCCCTGAGAGTCATTCAAGTCACTCTGGATAGATTTCAACTCTCCCAGGACATTGAGCTGGCGAAATGGTAGAGGATGGATCCTTGGCACTGTAAAACATTGCCTGTCGTATTATGATGTCATGGAATGAGGTAGCACCGTACAAACTAAACATTTGGCTGAAAAACACACTGCAACGTGCAATTGCACGTCTCTGATGACAGGACCGCGTGCAAGTTTGTTGTGCTCTGTTTCCAGTCAATTTGTCATCGAGCAGCCGCCATTAGCCAGGAATCTATTTACCATAAGAAAAAAAAAATTGTGGGTGGTGGTTAAAACGTTTTTCTTCCTTCCAATCAAAGCGGAGCCCAAGCTCGTCACATGTCGCGACCTCACGTGCACGAGTGCTCCCCTCACATGCGTCAAAGCTTAGAGAAGAGTTGGAGGAGGCCGGCATCTGGGTGCAGTGCCTTCTGACCTTGAACATTTCTGTTCAGCATTATCCACTCAAAATGAGAATGTGTGTGAGAAAGGAATGTCCAGCAGTCTTGGCGTTCATTTTCACTCTGTTGGTGGAATTTTCCCCCCCATTATCTTCTTTTAAGTGGGGAAAATGAGGGTGCTTAAAAGGTGCGTGTAGCACAGGTGACAAATTGTCACTATGCTCTAATGGTCGAGTCATTATTACAGCACAGCGGTGTCCAAAAGGTCGACCACAATCAAGGGTTGACTTTTAAAACATGACTTGCCATTGCAATCGGATACATTTGGAATAAGGAGTTCCAGTGTCCTCCAAACTGTCACATCCTAAAATGTTTACTTGGTACTTGTCAATGAAAACTTTACATACAACATTTTAACATTGCCATTCATAACAGCTAACCAGTCTTGATGCCTTCCTTATATGTGGTGAAAACTCTTTCCAGCTTTTATCACGCAGGCTGTGAAAGCCACCTACTTTCAAGTAATGTGACTCTGAGGACGGTGACAGGAATGGAATATAGCCAATCAAAGTAGCCCCCTGACTGACAGGCAAGGAAGCAGCGAGATGATCAAAATATGCAGGGGGAAAAAAAAATAAAATATAAACACATGACAAAAACATTCTTACCTGGTGATGATTTTTGCATAAAATTGGCTTCTTCGTGCGGTATTATTTTTCCTAACCAAGTGTTTCGAGAAATATAAAATAAGTCAGGTCAACCCCAAGTGTAAATGCTTTTAAATCCGCTTATTTTTCCCCCCACATACCCTTAAGGTTCTTTAAAACATCTTGAAATCTTTTTTGTCCTTTACTCTAATTTCTTTCCTTTTAAATGTTTTTAAGTTTTTCTGTTAAAGTGTTTAAATGTTGTCAATATATGTTCTTTAGTAATTTTTGGAAGCGACTTTTTTATTATTTTTTTTTTTTTTATCTTCGTTGCCTCTGAACGTCATTAACTGTGAAATATGCTTGTAGGAGTTGAGTTGCTTGTGTATGAATTGTGCTCGATAACTGAAGCAGCTTTGTCTTGCCTCTATGGCATTCAATGACTATTTCGCACGACCGTTAAATCATTCTATTTCTTCTGTGAGTCCTATGTTTTTATGAGAACGGCTGTTAGAATGTGTCATCGCACACGGTATTGTCACAAGCATTTCTCGTGACTCTGTTGACTGATGGACACGTTTGACAACTTGCTTCTGTTGATCTGGAAGTTACCGTGCAACTTCAGATTCAGCACTCTCATCTGTTGTCATCGACAGTGAACGGTCAGCCGAGGCCTTTGGAGTCCAGTCATGTGAAGTACCTGCGCAGGGAGCTCATCGAGCTGAGGAATAAAGTCAACACCCTCCTGGATACCTTTGAGCCCCCCAAAGAGGCCGACGTGGCCGCTACAGCACAAGAAAGCGGTAAACCACACAGAAAACAAAGCCGATTCATTTTAGATTAGTCATTGTCGCAGTCAGTCCATGTTGGTGATGGGGTTAGGCTGTTAGATGTGTTTTCTCAGCAATCTTTTTGTTATCTATCAAAATGCAAAGTATGCGTCTCGTTCATCACTTGCCGTAGCCCCAAGCGGGTAAGCTAGGAACGTGGGGATTGGTTGAGAGAAGAGTCGATAATGGAAGCCAAGTGAGACCGGGAAATCGTCTACTTTGGTAAATGTCCAAAATGTCCTTTCAAAGTTCTTGCGTGGTGAAAATAATTTCCCTTAGTGTGATTAATTTTTCACCTGCTGTGAAAAAGCATTAAAATTATGGTTCTGATTATCACCATGCAGCAAAAATATAACTCAGGTTTTTGCATGAGAGCTCGTGTTTGATTCAATTGCCATGTGGAGACAGCATGGCTAATAGCTGAAAATCAGCATGCAAACCATCTTGCTTTGAGCGAAGTGCCAAGAGCAGCAAGTCTGCGTCGCCGCATTAAAAAAACAAAAAACCTTGCATTATTGTTGGCTGCGACACATCACACAAACCACTGCAAATGTTACAGACAAGTGGAGGATTTTATTTTTGGAGGCCTGCCTCGACCTGTCTGTGTCACACTTTCCACAAAGCACACTCGAAAGAACAGCATGAGACAGAATCACGGCTAGAGGGTATACTAGATTAATACAGAAAATATAAACGGTACTTTGTGACGGTTGGTGGAACAATGAAACAGCATCCATCCATTTTCTAATCCACACCACAGGTGCTACAGTATACGTACATCCATTGCCACACTACAATACATTTTCCTTTTGGGGGCTGGTACGTATGACTTATTTTTTATTTTATTTATTTATTTATTTTTTTGCTGTTATTAGAAACAGTTGACGGACGTGAAGGCAAGGTGGCGACAACAGACCCCGCTGCGAAGCATGTGACCCCAGTCAGCGCGGCCAGCATGTCCGCCTTTGACCCCTTAAAGAACCAGGATGAAGTCAACAAGAATGTCATCTCAGCTTTTGGTCTGAGCGAGGACCAGTCCCCAGGTATTGCACAAGCATCCTAATCATCTCATACGATGATCCAGCAGTCTCTGCAACTTCCAATTCGCATTGATAAGCAGTCGAGCAGCTGGTGTTTGCCGCGGCTTTGTTTCAGCTGTCCCTCTCTCCTTGCCATCTGTAGCTCCGCCTGCAGCGGCGGCCCCAGAGGAGCGCTCAGGCACCCCCGACAGCATTGCGTCCTCCTCATCCGCAGTCCCTCAGCCAGGGTTGCCTCACCAAGCGCAGGCTCCCTTTTCCGGAGGGCAGCAGGCAGCCCCAGCTGGCATGGATGGTAAGATGCATGTAAACGCCAACAAGTTTGATTGTACCCTATCATATATTTGTGTGAGTAAATGATATATGTATTTCACATTTTACCAAAGTCACCACCCACAAAGATTTTAAAGTTCAGCTTCAAACATCGTCAACGCGTTGTCTGGCTCGTTATGACGGCGCACCCACAGGAAGCCAACGATCACGTTGTCCGGGTTTGGTCATGTGACGTTACAGATAGTGGATTGAGATCTCGGGGCATGTCAAATTTGATGCCAAAATGTCACCACGTCATGTTCCCAAAAATGAATAATGAATGTTTTGTTTTGGCTTTTTTTCCCTCCCAACATTTGCAGATTCGAGCTGCGACTGACTAGCGCATGAGGTGCGAAGTTCACTCGAGTCCCTTTGCGATCCAGATGTTCAGCATCACTTCCCCTATCTTTATGGGAATTTCTTTGCCTGAAGATAGGTTCCTCCCCTGATTGCCGTAGTAGTTTGTCAACAGAACGTTCTTTCCTTGATCTTTGTCGTGTCATTAGAGCAGGCTTTCCAGCTAAAGTGCAGGAGTTCAAATGGTGTAGCGTTTTATTTTAAGCCTTGAGCTTGGTTGCTTTGTTGCATTTAGAACGCTGCTAATAAGAGCCATGAGCTGACTGCGTAGTTAGATTACAATCTGTTGCCAGACAGATCCCAGTGAGTGGACCTCTTGGCAGCCATTTACATCTGTGCTGGGGGGAAAAAAAAGAAAGCATCAACATGCAAATGGAGCTGCCGCTCAACCATTCTTTTTTGTGAGATGGTTGATGTTTTGTATGTAGTTAGTGCAAAATGTTTATTTTAAACTGAGCCCTGCGTTTGCTTTCTCACAAAGGCATGTTCAGGCCTTCAGCGTGAGGGAGCGTTAGACGAATCCACTGGGGAGTTTCGCTTTGCTGGATATGTCGTTCTTCGGGGAGAATAAATCTAGAAAGTTAGAGGAAAACCGAAACGACATTGTCAAAAACCACACGTAATACACATTAAAAATAAACAAGCATAAATGTGACAGACGGGTTGAATGTCATGCAGTCGTATTCGTTGAGTCAATATTGATTTGAGCAGAGTAGAACATGGAAATAATGCGAATTTGAATGCTAAGAGAGAAGCATTCACACTACCATTTTGTGTGCGTGCGTGCATGTCCCAAACATTGAGTTTGAGATATGTTGCTTAATCTTTTGGTTCACATCGAAGGAGAAAACTCAAGAGTTAATCTTCTTTTGCGACACCAGTCACACGAGGACACCTCCTAGTATTAATGTTATGTTTATGATAAAACATATTGTGAATTGGAGGCGAAAACATTCTTATGCCGACAGGGTCGTAAGTCTCGTAACAGCCTCTGATCTGTCTGTGGCACTTACATAACAGCAGTGATGGAGCGGAGACCGCGGAAAGGATGAATGGCGGCCAAGTTCACAAACACGCACGCACACGTTTTCGCACATCATAATGACTATAGCGTTGCTCAAGTTAAATTCTGCAACACATGGCCGCCACATCAGTGCCTGTGCGCCTTCCTTTTAGCATGATCTGTTTACTTCAACCTCCAGTATTTGTCTGGTGAGGCATGTGCAGCATATGCCTTATCAGATTTAATTGAGCACCGCAGTTTTTTGCTGTTTTGTTTTAATAAAGGTTATGACTTTCCCCAGCTGATTATCAATCGAGCCTCCGCGCCATGGGAAAACTCCCAAGTTGATTAAAATACCAACTGACAAATTTCACGCTTTTAAAAGCCACCGCCTGTTTTGAGCTGCTCTCAGCTGTCATTTCCATGGAGGCACGCGTACTTTTGCGATGGCTGGCGCGGCTGGTCGCCGTCCTGCACATGTGCACGTAGGCAGTGTGGTCTGGTGAAGTCATGGCTAATTCAAGTGCAACAGGAAGTCACTGTCTGCAAATGTAGACGTGTCTGCCGAGGGAGATGCCGCATGCAAAGCCGACAGTGTCCATGTGTGTTCCTGATAGTCGCTAAACACACCTCCCCACTCTTTATCTTGTGTATAGGAGGAGTGTTTGTCTACAACTTGGGACACCTACACGCCGCTCCGACGCTTGAGGCCACTGGGAGATATCTGTGGCGTGTACACATTTATCAACAAAACCCACAAAGGCTATACTGTTTAAGAAAAGTTCACGGAAGCTCCAACGGCGCGTTAAGATCAAGTGCCCCATATGCAGCGTCAAGGAGATTTTCAAAGGTGACAGTTTTCCTCTTTTGTGTTACGTTTAGGTCAGGTGTACCAGCAGTACCAGGCCCCAGGTGGATACCCTCCGCAGCAGCCGGGTGCCCCGTCTCAACAGTATGGAATGCAGTATCCTGGTAAGTGACAAAGGTCAATGTTAAAAGAAGCCTGAGTCCTCATGGTGAGACACTTGTCGAGTACTCTGCTTCTTACCAAAGTTCCCTACAAATACACACACACACACTTGTTCCGTTTTACTTAGCGGTCTTACCTGCATTTTCATCATCTGACTAAAAGGTGCCTGTAACGTCACATGATTGGATTGTGTTTGTGTCATACCGCATGATGAAAGTCTAAACTTCGATACAAAAATTGCTGTTGGAAAGCTTTATAATCAAGTAGGCCTTTCCTTGAATGCAGCTGGAATGCTTCACTATTTTTACATTGTGTATTTTACAGCTGGGTGAAACAAAAAAAATTACTGTTATAGTGTAATTGTATTATCTTATACACATGCAATGATTAATCGCTGAGCAAAATTCATCACTATTTTTGATCAGCGATTTATCGTTTCGATTTTTGTCCAACTTTCAGCTTCTGAACAGTAAATCGTCTTTGTAGTCCTCCCTGAAAGCTGACTGAAAACAATGGCGGGTGCCCCTGTTCGAATGATATGTGAACACAATCTTTTTTGCTTTCTCGATATTTTCTCAGCGGGATATAGCCCCCAGCCAGGAGCCCCCCAACCTGGTCAGCCGCAACAGCAGCAGTTCCAGAACTACGCGCCCCCCTCCTCCCAAGCCCCGGCCGCAGGTCCGCCGGCCCCGGCCCCCAGCTACCAGGGTGGCCAGCAGCCGCAGCAGCCTCATCCTCATCCTCCTCAGGGACCGCAGCAGTACCCACCAGGAGCTTTTCCTCCCCAAAACTATACTTCCCAGGCATCACAGCCTGCCAACTACAGCATGCCGCCCACCTCCCAGCCTGCCGGGTACCAACCTCGTCCGGGATACACCCCACCTCCGGGCAGCACGGTCACCCCTCCGCCTGGGGCTGCTAACCCATATGCCCGGAACCGGCCCCCCTACGGTCAGGGATATGCTCAGCCAGGCCCTGGATACCGGTAAAAGGTGCTCATGAAAGATCCACACATCAGCCTTCGTGGCTCCAATTGATTGGACTGGTTCTGACTTTTTTTTCCCCCCACCCTCCGCATCATATGAATATAAAATCCAAATTTGAAACAGGCAAACTCCCCAGTCTGATGGTGAGTGTTTGTATGCGGTCTATCCAACACATCGCTGGCCTTTTGTTGTTGTTGTAATTCTGACTTCTTTTTTGGGGGGTGTTATTTCATCTCACCATCCTTTTCCCTCTTGTATTTGTTCTTGTTGCACGCATTTGGAAGACCAAAACTGACTGTTTATCCTTCTTTTTACATCATTGCGTGAATGACATCCATATCCTTAAGACTTAGTGCGCTGGCCATCGAACTGAATTCCAGTTTTGTCTTTTTATTGTCACCATAATGTCTGTATTAATCATGATGGGGAAACTAGCTAAGTGAGGGTATACGGGCGGGGTCAATCCCAAGTGAAATATGTAAGATCCCCTTTGGTCACCACTCCTTCACTCTTTCTCTGTCTTATCACCAGTTTTTACTCATATACAAAAATCAAATGACTTCTTCACGTGAGATTAGTCGTTTAGTGTATAAACTGTAACTTTTTTTTTCTTTCTTTAACACAATAAATGATTGAGACCCAGCTGAGTTGTTCGTATTTTCCAACACTTGTGTTGCTGTTGGAGTTCATGCCTTGGCCTTTTCTTTTCCATTTTCCTCCCAAGTAGATTTTGGAATACTGATGTAATGCCGCCGGTATTATATTTTGTTTTCCTGTTTTGAGGCGTGTGGCAGCTTGGTTGTGTTTTGAGGGAGCGTGCGGTCTCTGCTATGTCAAACTGTCTCAGCGAATGAGGGGCAATCGAGCATCAAGCATTTATTAAAGAACATTTTCAGTAGTGATCGAACACCCGCAGCTTCAGTTTCCAAGCCTGAAGTCGCTCATCTCTGATGGATTTGACCACGTAATGGTCGGAAAAATATGAAGGAGTTGTTAAATATGGAAACAGTTTACCTCCGGAGCTGAATTTAAACTATGCAGCCTGTGTGTTCCATCGAATACAAATGAAACTATAAGTTTAAAAATTGTGCTACTGTACCAGTACCACCCACATATATGCATGTCGATAATTATAACGCACTGGGCAATCTTGGCTTTCGCTTTACTTGGCTCATACTGTAGACTGTCACTTTAGCCTGTATCTTGCTTTCCCTTTATATTATACGAAACTTGATGTTAGCTCAGGGCTCCTGACTAACTTTTATTTTTTCTCTAGGACACAATGGTCCCTAATCTGAAATTTGCGGGGCGCACAACTCTAAATCGCATTGGTAAGTAAATATTCACATTTTCTCTATATAACTGAGTAGTGGGCTGGCAAGGGCAGAAGTTGGTCAGCAACAATAGATATCCAAGGATCATTGTCACAAAAAAAAAAAAAAAAAGCAAATTTACTGATCACACATGCGTAAGCAGGTGAAAAATACTTGAACTGCCTCAAGTTTTCGGGAAAGAAAGCCAGCATTTAGTCAGTCGGGAGCTCTACCTTAGTAGATCAAATATTCTTTATTAATTCATTGTAAAGGACCATAACGTTAGCATTTGCTAAAATACTTTAGCCTTAGTGTTTACCTTGCTTAGCATAAAGACCAGAGTCTTAACATTTCTCTTGCTTAGATCTTAGACTTCATCATTCCTGAAATAAACAGCTTTAAAATTGACCTTTTTTAGCTTTGACATCTTAGCCGTTACGTAGCTTAGCGTAAAGACCATAACTTCAGCCCCTTCCCCTTGCTTATCATCAAAGTGATTAGCCTTTACCTTTCTTAGCATGAAGGCGTTTGTCTTAAAGCCTGAGCCCAATTCATTTCCCATGTTTAGGGAAAAGATTTAACAACATCCAAGCCTTTAAAATCACACAGAAACTAGTATCAGTTCATATCAAAACAAGATTTATTGATTGAAAATAGTTTACATGTTGCAACACAAAAGTATTTGTAAGAAATAATGTGAAAATTATGTACAGTTTGCAAAATGTTTCAACAAATATCTTTCTATGCAATTGCCTTATTGGAGAAAAGTTAGCATGTTTCCATTCACTACATCATAGAAGCACATTTTTTTTCCCAATAATTTGAACTTTAAAATCTTTCCAACAATTTGAAACTTGGTAGACAAAAAAAGAAATCACTCCATATACATATATAAACAAAAGTTTAATACTGTGCAATCTGCAACTGCTAGCAATTCCTCAGGAACAGCAAACTGTCGGTCTCGCATGTGTCATATGTGCTTGTAGTTTGCATTGTACAAATGTACAGTCATAATGAGTGGCACCTTGTTTCTGTATCCAGATGGTGTGTGTGTGTGTGTGTGTGTGTGTGTGTGTGTGTGTGTGTGTGTGTGTGTGTGTGTGTGTGTGTGTAGAGGCACGAG